CTCACAAGAAGAAAGAGGCCCTTCACATTTGGTCCCTGGCTCCCTCTCTTGACTCGCTTTTGTTTACTTCATGCCAATCAACTGGCATCATTTTTATTCCTAGAATACAGCACACTTGCTTTTACCTTCATTCCTTTGTGCTTGGTATTCCCCGTGCCTGGAATGCTCCTTCTTCTGATAATTGCACACTTACCCATTCACTTCGCTTAGTTTCCTGCTCACATGTTACCTTAACTCCGCAGCCTTCTCTAAACACCCTATCTAAAATAACGTACATTTTCAATCCCCTCCCCCACCTTACTTTATGTCATGTCGTTTACCTGACTTGCTAGCAGCTAGGTATGGTCACATGCCCAAGTTTTGGCCAATGGAGTCAGTGGAAGTGATGAGTGCAAATGCCAGGGCAAGTCCTGAAGGAGAAGGTACAAGCCCTCAGTGTCTCCTCCTTTCTAGCCCAGTGGCTGTAATCTGTATGTGATGGCAGGAACCTAGAAAAGCCATCTTAGACCACCAGATGGAAGACAGGTGTTGAGACATTAGAGAAATCTGGGTCCTTGATTCCTTATTGGCTCTAGAATGCTTACATTTGAATGGCCACATAAGAGAGAAAATTTTTATCTTGTTTAAGCCATTTTCATATTGCCTTTGTTATAGAAGTGAAACTACAGTCTAACACAGACATGTATTTTTTTTGAAAGTCTGACTGCCCTCCCAACCCCCACCTGAAACGGGACTGGAATGTAAATTCTACGATAGTGGAAGCTCTGTTTGGTTCACTGTAAATAGCTTCTTGAACAGTGCCTGGCACACTAAGCATTCGCTAAATGTTTGTTGAATGAATGAATGGCAAAACCATCAGCATAATGCAAGACCTTGAATGCTGCCCTGAGGAAGCACATGGCTGGTCAATATAAGTAAGTACAGCAATATGCTCTGTGTGTGTGGCTGCTTTTCTGTCCTTACTGAACCACAACCTGCTACTTCCATTATCTGAGAGGCATAAATACTTGTAAAATGGTTGTGTGTTTCTTTTGTAATTTAAATGAAGACTCCCAAGTAAAGTTCATGGCTGTAATGAAATCGGGTCACAGAGTCATGGAAAACTGTGACAAGGTTCACACTGATGAGGAAAGGTCACATGTCGCATGTTACACACAGATGGAGAAAAGGAGCTTGTGTGTTGAGATCCTGAGATGTGCAGCCAAGATGTGCACCAGTCTGGATGGCAAAAGCTGATAGCTGAAAGAACCACAAAGGACTGCACAAGTTGAGTCAAAATGAAACAGAGACATATCACAGGGTATCAGCAAGACACTTGGGGGCAAATGCTACAGACAAAAAGCCACTGAGTTTCTGGGTAAGAGCATAAAAGGTTATACTGCCAGGATAATATTTTTGTTATCAAAAATCTTTTTCATGCTATGAGGTTTGTTTTGAACACCTTAAAAACATAGATCTGCTAATGCAAACAACTTAAAATATCACGGTGGCTTTAAAAATATATATAGGAATGACATCCTCTGGGCCCAGGATTAAGCCACCTTAACTTTAAAAGGTTCTATTTCCTGGGTGATCAAAGTTGCAAAGGTGTAGGCTATCTTGCCATACCACACCCCTGGGTGTAATATTATTGAAGTAAAACAAGTCAAGATTTGTTTAGTCATTTTATAATATATATGTAACTTCTGGTAAGTTACTGGTATGAGGTTTTTCTTTGTTGAGTAATTAGCTAGACAGTTCTAGAGAGCTTTCTTAATAGTGCGCCTCTTTGCTTGAGAATTTCTTAGTAACAGTAATTTCTCCTTTTTAGAAACATATTAACACATATTCAAAGTAGAAGGGCAGCTTTTAGATTAGGACAAAGCACTGAAAATTAGTAACAATAGTTACTTCTTTGTCCCTACCTCCCTCTTGTGCCTAATTATGGCTTGAATTTTGGTGAGGCCTCTCATCTTGTATACTGGATATATTAGGATGACTGAAGGGTGAGGTAACAATACATGCCACCTTTATATGATGGCTCATTTATCTGAGAATTTCATGTTGTAGCCACACTGTCATTTCAGATAGGTCTCAGAATATAAAAATGAAAGTGATCAAAATATGACCTCATTTAAAACCCCTCCAACTGGGAGAATCAAGGCTTTTCCACATTTAGTGCTTTTTTTCAGTCCAAAGGACTTAAAAGTTTCTCTTTAATGAGCATGGTGGGTGAGGTGCCCTTTTACTGGAGTTGATGGAATTTACTGGAGTTGATGGGACAATTACCTTTGGTAATTTTTATCATAATATTCAAATAAAATAATTTATGCACAGAAATGACTTGTAAACCACAAGGATATAAACAAACACATACATTATTATTATTATCATTGTGATAAAAACAACTTCTGTTAGGAAAGGAGGCAGCTTGGTGTAGGGTGTAGGAATTTCAGGCTGGAAGCCCCAGACTCTATGAACCTGAGGAAGGGTGGGCCCATCTTGGGAGAGAGAGAAGTCATTTTCAGGGAGAATAGTGTGTATGTATGTGTGTGTTGGGGAGGGGGGGGTGAGGGGAGGGGAAGACAAGGGAAGGGGGTGTCCCCAGGTTTGAAGGTGACCCTATTATGACTCCTGTAGATGGGAAGTCCACATTCACTGGAAGAGTGATTCATTTTTATAGTAGCCGCTGCCTGAAGAAGACCAATGCATAGTGGCATAATATGAAACTTCAAAAACAATCTAGGCCAATAGATTTGTTTCACTGGGTGGCTCAGATAATGAACCCTAATTGTACTGAGACAGTTTACTTATTGAAGAGAGGATTATGTTTAGTAACCTACATATGTCATTAATCAACTCTTAAAAAAAAAAAAGGAACCTACTATATCCTCATGGCTTCTGAAAGTCTCTGCAAAGGTGCTAGTTGTGGAGTAAATAAGTCTGGGCTTTAGAATCTTACTGCAATGCAAAACCTGCTTTCCTTGAGCTGTTTCCTTGTGTGTTTCCCTGTACACTCAACACAGTGTTTTGGAAACCTGCAAGTTATCTAAATTCCCATCGGGTGACATTGTTTAATCTAACATTCCCTCTTTCATATATGAAAAATAGCTCTAAGGACAATCCACTGAGACGCTTTGAACTCTCTTTCTGGTGGTTGGAATGGAGTTTCCAATCCCAGCCCCTTTCCTCTGATGGTTTTTCG